GGGACAGACCGGGAGATGGGAGGAGGGAGCTTCCCGTGAAGGACCGTAGAGGGGCGAGAGGCCTGTGTTCTGGGGGGACGAGCTCTGTCTGCACGGCGAGGTGCCTGGCGGCGGGGGGAGCTTACTGTAGAGATGTACTGGATTGCTTGAATAAATTGTGTATGTATTTAGAGTTGTGGTCTTGGAGATTGTCACAAAGCTTGTATCCTGCTGAGCCTTATGCTGCCTCTGGTGAAGCACTGACATTGGAATCCAGTAAGGGTGTTGTTTTTGTGCTGAGCAAAAAGATAAATACTGAACTATTGTTTTGATCCTTAGTGAAAGACCATTAAACTCAAATACTAGCTTTCAAAATATTATTTGTTTTGAACTTTTGAGACACTTGGGTTTCTGGAGAGAATAACTGATCTTTCTGAAAGAATAGCTTCAAAGTGATAGTTTGGTGGTTTTTTTCACCCCAATATGGTCTTAAGATGTTGATTAACTCAGTCCACCAAAAAGAAAATCTAATTATAGGGAAGCTTGCATCTGCTAAAACCAAGCTTTCCTCTTTAGCTTTCTGCTTTGGTTTTCTGAAAAAGAAATCAAATTGTTGTGTTTCAGATTCCCACATTAAGATGACATAATTATTACCTAATGGTGTCTGAGCAAAAGTTACACTGAGTGGGAAATGCAGATATTCATTTAGTACTTTGGTGTGACCCAGTTCACTTAGTTCAGAGATGTTTTCAATTATAGTTGACTTTTGTCCTAATTTGTTACAAATGAGAGCATCTTTTCTCAATCTCTTTGTTTGGTTTCTGAAGTCAGCCTTTTTTTTTTTCCCCCCACTGTTTCAGTGTTGAAAAAATCTAGAGAAGTGAAGAAACAGTTTCTTTTTGTGTTGCTATACCTGGGTTCTGTAGGAAACTTAGTTTGGAACCTAGTAATTGACCATTTCTGTTCTTTGAAGGGAGACAAAAATACCAAATACATCGTCATACATTTCATAACTGAGGCCTTAATGGATCAAATTCAAAAAGAATACTTCATTTTCTGACTTAATATCAGTAGGAATTGCACGACAGAGCGTGGTTTTCCACACATGCACCCTGGGAAGTTCTGGTGTGCTGTGGTAAAACAAGGTTTGACTGTAGCACAAAAAAGTCTTTTGGGGATTGCTGACTTGAGGGTGTGGTTTCAGAAGCAGCTCAAATTGATCTGAGTGGAGGTTGCTGTTGAAAGCTGTAGTTCGAGCCCTTCCTTTCATTCTCCTTCCCCTGTTGGCACGGGTGCTCTTTGCAGCTGTCCAGATCACCTTGTTGATCTGGCTAAGAATTCAACTTCAGGGTGAGTTTTCAGGTGCACTGGCTCACTGAACCAGGTGACTGGCAGTCCAAGGAACATGATGAGAATGTGTAGAAGGAGGGAATGCTCCTTTTAAACTCAGCCAAAGCAGTTCTGATGTTCCTGTAGAATATAAAACTTAAGATTTTTGACTGCAAATTAAATGTGTGGTATTTTAATAGCTGTTTGTATGGTCAGAGATGAGAATAAAGGACAAAGACACGGAACTGATTCTTTGTATTATGGGATTCTTCAGAACAGTAACTTGGCTTTCTTGGAGTTCTTCCTTAAAACTTAGTATTGTGACTAAAGTTAATCTGCTATACGTACACAACACCCAACTACAGCAGCTGTAGTTCTCGAGTATGTTTTTGATTCTGACTTGTTAATGAGACAAAGGCAGATGAGTAATATTGTAAAACACGCTAAAATATCAATCTGGATGGACACTAATTAAAGATACATAGGTTGTGATGCAGGTACATTTAGCAGCATGCTGATAGTGTTGGTGATGAATGACTGCTGCGTGGAGCTGCTGCCATAAAAAGGCACAAATGACAAGCTCACCTAGAAAGAGTAAAGCAGTCTTATTCAAGATCTCTGCAGTATCTGATTCATTAGTTACAAAATACATATTCTTGAATGAAAAAAAGGCAGATGTGTGCATTGCTTGCCCAGTGGATTTTCTGGCTGCATGCAACCAGCCAGAATAAAAGGGAATAATAAAATGATTTGACCTTCTGCATTTTAAGTAGGACTCTGCAGAAATCTAGTTGGTCCATGTCACACTAGCAAGTCCAGGTTTGGTACAGTTTGTGTTCCTGTGTGCTCTTAAATGCACAATGAGCCTCTGGGAAAGGAAGCAGACATGAACAAAGTCCAGTAAAAGCAAGGTGTTGAGGGGAACGTGGGCGGTGTAGTGGGTAGGCATCTCAAGTCAGATTCTTTAGATAGGGGAAATGGTGTTGGAACCAGGGACAATGGCATCCTGTAGTCTAGAAGTCCAGGAGATATAACTTAAGGTTGCCTTGTGCCCACAGTACAAATCTTGCTCTGTGTAAAGGAGATCAAAGTTAGCTTTAGAAGATGAGGCTCTACAGGAAATGAACACATACATGTATTACATTAATAGGGTAAAGAATTTAGCTGGTACAGTCTAGCTCCTCAGCAACCAATGCCAATAGCATTAACTGAGACTAAGGGAAAAGATAGGAAAGACAACCTAGTTTACCTCTGTCTGTAATTCATAGAACAAATGAAGAAGAAGGAAGAATAATAAAGGAAGAAATAAATAAAGAAGAAATAAATAAGAAATAAATAAGCAATAAATAAAGAAGAAGGAAGAAAACATCCAAAAAGCACTGAAATTAGTTTCTGTGCCTTGGAACACCTTGCTCAAACAAGTTTTTTATTATGTGTTCAATTCAAAGCATTCCAGTACAGATATCTGACAGTTATGGCAATAACTTCAGAGTTAGGAGATGTTTCTGTCAAGCTAAATGCTGCTGAAATAATTTAGATAACTGTGGAGTGGATGTTGATAACGTACTATTTAGTTAATCTGGATCCAGTGCTTTTAATGGCAGGATAAGCTGAAGAGCCTGTGCCATGCGAGTATTTCTTCACTGCTATAAATTATTCTTAAAATCTAGTCTAGGATGTGTTTTTTAAGTAATGTTTTTGAGTAGAGGACAGTAGAGACAACCTTACGTTGCTTTTCTTAATGGATTGTGGGATGAAGAAGAAGTTCATTCATTACTGACTTCATGTGTAATCTATTTAAATTTGTTATTCATTTGTTTTCCCACTGAAGTACTGCATCAGGAAATACTAGAAAGGAGTTGGCCAGTGGTGGAGGTGGCTGGTGCAGGCAAAGAGAAAGAAAAACTAACTGAAGTTGTGGAAAAATTCACTTCCAAAAAGTCAAACAGCACCTGAGCAGTGCTATGTACTGTATTAGTGGTTGTGTTTGGAGTTGAGTTCCAGAGACACTGTGCCTTTTTTTGACAGGTCCCGTGGTGGTGGTCTTGGTTCCCGCAAACAGAAAGAGTTGCCAACAGAACCCCCTTTCACAGCGTATGTGGGAAATCTACCCTTCAACACCGTTCAAGGAGACATAGATGCCATCTTCAAGGATCTCAGTGTCAGGAGCGTACGACTAGTCAGAGACAAGGAAACAGACAAATTTAAAGGTGAGTTTTCAGAGTTGTAGTTGTAGGTGGATAACTGCTAGGAGAAAATGAGGGGCATCTACAGTCACTTTAATGGGGAATTTCAGTCTCTAAGCGCAGTTAGCTTGTTGATCTGCGTTTGTTCTTTATGTTGACTTATACCAGTTTCTCATTCACTAAGAAATAAACGTAGCATTTGAATGAGATTCGCTGTTCTTTCCATCATCTTAAGACAGAGACTAACCTGAGTGACCAGAATCAATATTTGCCCTGCTATAAAAGCACTTTGTCAAACCTTGTTTGTCTTGTGTGAATTGTAACAAAGCTGAAGTGTCTGACCCGCTTAAGATCCATGACCTTAAATGCTGAGTACATACACAACCTTGCTTTAGTTCAGGAGACTCCCATCACTTCAGGTCTGTCTTTCTTTTAGTAGGTAGGGAGAAAAAGCAAGTAGTAAGCTGTTTAGACAGTTGTTTTAAAGGATGCAAATCCAATTTCCGTTGGAATTGACCAGTGGAAAGGGAGTGTATTTTTAAGTTACTTTTTTGGGGAAAAGGCTTAACTCGGATAACAGAGAACCTCAGAGAAGGAGTAAATTCACTAAATAATGTGACACAAAATCAGACTGCTGGCCAAGCAGGTACTTCAGCTTCTTATTTAAAAATACTAGTAACCAAAGGTCAATATTCAGATAAATAATTGTCTAAAGGCATAGATCAAATCTAACCTGTAATGAGAACCCTATGGCAAAGGGAATTAATCAGGCTCTTAGCATTTGCATAGTGCCCATACAGTGTTCTGTTTCAGGATTTGTCCCCATCATTACTAGGCAGAGGGAAATGCATTCATCCTTACTGATGTTTGGTTTCTAAGTTTTGTGCCTCTTGCACTTAACATATGGTAGCTCATGTTTGGAAGAGAAGGAAAGCTATTAGCAGATATGCAGGAAGAGTAGCTTCTTACAAAGGCCTTTTAAAGTGCTGGTATTAACCTGTGAGGTTCTTCTTACAGGATTTTGTTATGTAGAGTTCGATGAGGTGGAGTCACTCAAAGAAGCTCTTACGTATGATGGTGCAGTAAGTATGCTTGCAATTAATTTGTGAAATAAAGATAAGCACAAATCTCAAACTCCTTGGCAGCCCACATGGTATATTCTGAAGAGATTCTCCCCTTTATTTAACAGCTTTTGGGTGACCGATCACTCCGAGTGGACATAGCAGAAGGCAGAAAACAGGATAAAGGTGGCTTTGGCTTCAGAAAAGGTGGCGGGGCTGATGACAGAGGTGACTTCCTTTTTTCTGAATATCTTCTTAAATCTGGTGGTTTAAGAAAAGGCATGCAAGTAAACATGAAGATTATATAGGAAGGAGAAATTTTATGTCTATACACATTTCTAACCTAGCTGCTGCCGCTCCTGAAATGCCTGGAATAGATGCGCTTTGTGTCCAAATGCTGAACGTGTTGTCACTCCTAGCCCAGGAAGTGAGACCAATACCCCTAGCAATGTACAGTGTCTTGCAGAGGACAATCATAAGCCCAACAGTCTGATCTGCTACTATTTTATTATGATGTGAGAAAAGTGAGTAAGCTAAGTAAGCAAAAGTATATAAATACTTATGTTGGACTATCTCCAGTTCCAGTGTAAAAATAGGCTTTGCTATAGTTGAAGCTTAATTGAGCTATACACACTAAAGATTTCCACTGAATGTGTATTAGAGAAACTTTTCTGACTGCTTATTCTTGGTTAACTTAAACTGATCTTTTGTTCCTATGCAATGGGACTTGGTAGTACTGAAACAAAAGCATTTTCCAGCAGCATGACTTTGGATGTTCAAGGACCAAAACTTTGGTTCGGTATCCCCTTGATCGGTCTTTCCCACAGCTTCAGACCTGAACACGATTGTGGCTTTTTTCCTAGGAATGGGAGGAGGTCCCCGAGAATCCAGAGGAGGTGGATGGGATTCAAGAGATGACTTCAATTCTGGTATCAGTATACAGTATACACTTATACAGCCAGGTGGCCTAAAAGGCACAGAATTGTTCTCATTTTCATGTCAGCTACATTTTTTTCCTATTACTGTTTTGATTGAGTCTACCGTATACCAACTTTGGACAACCTGCAGCTCCAGTGGGGTTCTTCAGGGGGAATCTTCCATTGCCTTATAGGAGAGGAAAGAGTCTTGATTGTAAATTTTATGAGACAATCCTAAATGACAGAATACTCATTCAAATGTAGCCTGTGGTGTCCAGGTTTTAAGCATTTCTCAAACACGAGGCCAAGTACATTTCTGAATAGTAGCAGAAACAGACAGATCATGTGGAAAAGCTGATACTGAATTCTTTTAGAGCAGAGGCTTTCACCTTCTGAAGGAGATGTGACACTGTATGTGTGTTCCTGAAGCAACTGACTTCTCCAAAGATGTATTAGTGTTCCAAAGCACTTCTAAATTAAAAATGTTCCAAACTTTGACTTGTTACAGTAGTGCAAGCTGCAGCAAACCACTGAGCTTGCTGAGTGGAAGGCAGTGATGGAGCCACTGTGTTAACTGCTGACTTCCAGTCAGTTCCTACCTGTTACAGTCTAGGGTGACATTAACACAATTGCTTTTGTCCTCTGAGATCATGGGTTTGGTCCATTTTCTGATGGGGAGATGCTGGCAAGTGCAACTTTGCAATGTCTGGTCTCTGCGTGAGTGGAATGGACAAAGAAGAAGGAGCAGTAACAGTGTGCCCTTGCAACTAGCATGAGTCTGGAGCATGGTGATGCAGAGAGGAAGCTTGCTACAGTGCTGTGCTTAACCTGCCTTCGTAACTGAGCGTTCTGGTGTCGTAGCTTTATACCTTTTTTGGCAGCTTCTTCAAATGCAGATGTGTTTTGGCTTGTTAGATGCTGGGTGAGTGATCTGTGAGCCAAAAGTTCAGCATTTAAGTCTTACAAGAAAAGCTTCTGTAGCAGCTCAGCCTTGCTCTGGATCAAGTCTTTAAAGATGGTTGTTTGGCACTGAAGTAAGGGACAGTTCTGCAACTCTGCCAAGTACTGAAGTGGAAAGGAAAGTCTCAAATGGGAGCAAAACAATTTTCTCTTCCAAGCAGCTTCTGAAAAACTGAATATGTTCCCCTTAGGTGTGCTGTGAGCCTGAAGTATCCTCCTGCCATTGAATGCATATGATATTCCAGCAGAGTCATTGGTACGGACTGGAACTCTGGCCAGTGATAGGCAGTTCCTGGTTTTTTGGTACATGAACTGAAGAAACGTGGTCAGTTTCACATTTAAAGTCTAAATTGTTTTTTCTGGCTCTATAATTTGTCTAGTAAGTGCCTGGTCAGTTTATAGAACAACTGAAAAGCTTTGGGGTTTTGCTCTGTTTTTCAGAGGCTTTGTTTTGGAAGGACTGTGTATTTCACTACTCCCTAGCTATTTTCCCATTTGCTCTGCTCCTGCAGATTTCATGCTAATGCTGTAGCCAGCGTGATCTTCTGGCTACAGAAGTACTCTGAGTGCTTCCAGTGTTGTCTCTGAACTCAGCTAACAGCGTTGACAATCTGCAGTTGCAGCTGAAGCTCAGATTTTAAGCTCACTTTATGACCCACTCTCCAACACTCCAATAAGCCTCTAGGTGGATAAAGCAGTTTCTGAACTTGGCATAGTATACTCTGTTTCAAACTGAATCTGTACGACTCTCGTAGAACGTGTTAAAGAACGTGTGAAGCAATCTGTCTACAGACAAAGGCTGTCAGTGCATCATCTTGGACTGAGAGCAGTGACTTACAAGGTTTTACAGTCATCCAGATAAAAATCCAGATTAAAAACATTGCAAAATGTTCTCTTTAAATTCACTGTCTTCCGTCTTCAGGATTCAAAGATGATGACTTCTTGGGAGGTCGGGGTAGAGGAACCCGCCCTGGAGACCGGCGACCACCAGGTGCCTCAATGGGAAGTGGTGGCACTGGTCGCTTCAGAGATGGGCCTCCCCTTCGTGGATCTTCCATGGACTTCAGAGAGCCAACAGAAGGTAAACTCTTTAATATATTCCGGAATTTAGTCTTCCTTCGTGAAGGAGACTCCTGCTTTCTTTGACAGGTTAAAGCTGCTACCCTTGACAGATAGATCTTAAAACCTTAATGTTTTCTCTTTCAGAGGAAAGAGCACAGCGACCCCGACTTCAGCTCAAACCTCGAACAGTTGGTACCCCGCTCAATCAAGTAGCCAACCCAAACTCTGCTATCTTTGGTGGAGCCAAGCCCCGAGAGGAAGTAGTAAAAGCGCACGACTGAGTTTGGGGTTGAGAGGGAATGGGGAGGCGGGAGAAAAAGCAAGACAGTACAGAGTAACTAGCTCTGCTGGAATGTCAACCCTGCAGTTTACCATTCCTGCCATCTGGCATTTGTCCTCTTTGAAACCGAAAATACAGAGCTTGTGAATGCATGTCAGCTGTTAACAAGTGGTTTTTAGTACGTTCTTGGCTTTGCTGTATCTAGTGCCTGCTTTGTGCTGAGTTTCCCTCTTCTGTTTCCTTCCAAGCAGCACAGTTGCCAGTAGTTAAGGCAATGTAGCTGCTTCCACGAGTGTGGAGGTCTCTGGACAAAGGTGCTGCTTTGACTTCTTCCTTTCTGGGTTTGTTTTACTTTAGAAGCACAGGTTAGACTTAGTTATTGCCCTGTATTGTTTCCTTTTACTTCCTCAGTGCTCCTCTTCTGATCTGCATGTCTTGTTCTGTATTGCTGTGGCTCTGAAGAGGAAAACTGGAGAGTCCAGATGAGTTGAACAGAGAAATTTACAGTTCTAACCAAGTAGTGAAATACCATTTATGACAATTGGCGTTAGTCACTGCATACATCAGAGCCCCGTCTAAAACTAAGGAGGATAACTGCTTTTTCACACAGGTTACCAGAAATACCAATTTAATAGATGCAAATCAAATTGGCTTACAAGGAGCCTGGTGAATAGGTGGTGGAATCCCTATGGATAGAGTGTCTGCCAGCAGACTGTTGCTGGTGGCTCTCTGTTGACTTCAAAATGGTATTATGCTACACCTCTGAGCTCAAGGTTAGTGCTGCAAAAATGTGCCTGTTTGAGCACAGCTGCTCACTGGCTCTTTCTGCTTACATTTTTTGGGGGGGCTTTACGCATTTGGTAAATTTTTAAACAAAGTTTCTACAAAAAGTTGACTTTTTTAGTTTTTGTTTAAGGAGTGTATACTTTGCCATGCAGTATGTAATTGCCATTATCCCCTGTATTTCTTTGCCCAGTGGTGTACAGTTTTAAGACCTCTGCTTTCAGAATACCTTGAAAATGGGCAGATTAGAAATCATTCTGCTGTAGATTCTCTTCATGTAGAAGTTCGGGTTAAAAGCATCTCTAACTGCTGCATCTCTCTTCACTTGAAATCTTTCTTGCCAGTGTTGTGTGGTAGGAGGGAGGGGGAGGCTGGAGCAAAAGGAGAGCGATCATTAGTGTTTAAAAACAAAACCTGGATCTATAACACTGAAGCGTGGATATGTGTGATGCATGAGAAAATTTTGGGCCCCCAGTGCTAGTGCTGACAGCTTTCAGATCAAACAGCCGGCACACCGGAGCACTTGCAGGAGGAGTTTGGAAGCATGGCTGCTTCACTGCCAGCATCACTGCTTGTAGTGAACCTCTTCCCTAAAGTTACCTTGGTAATGTCAGAGTCCCAGCAATTCACAGAACTACTCTTTCCTTCCTTCTGCCTGTCACTTAATCTGCTTCTGAGATAAGAACCATTTGTCTAACACTAATACTTAATTTAAGACAGACATGCATTTGTGTGGTTGTATTCCAAACCAATAATTGACCTATTTACATCTTCAATGTGGAAAAGATTTTAAGAACAAATTCCCATATAAAAATCTCACCTCTAGTCAAGGCAGTTGACTTTTAAATGTAAAAACAAAAACAAAAAAAAAGAATTCCAAACACTTAACACGTTCTGCTTCATAACAAAATAAATTTATGGATATGGTATTTTGTGAATGATCTTTTAAATAAAAGAAAACATTAAGTAATATTTAACATTGGTCTTTATTTGAGTCTGCTATAGCATGGCTTCCCTCCCTCAGTTTTCAAACATTGTGTTAGTTTGGAAATTTGTTGCCTTAAAGTTTATGGGGAATCAGTACCAGCCCCACTTCTTATACAGATTGGGATGGGGGAGGGAAAAGGAAAAGGGGAGGAACCTGATCTAAACAAGTGCCGGGGACATGCAGGATATGGTGAAGTAAAAGTTGTGCACAAGTGGAAGCAAGCCCAAGTTTTGTCCTGTGGCTTCAATGTAACCTCAGCTATGCATTGCTGAGGCTGCCGGGCAGAATGTGGCAGTACTACACCTTGCAGGGTCGTATTGCTCCTTGTGCCATTTCCCACACACTGGGTTCTGCTGCCCTCCCCTGCCCTGCACAGGGCAAAATGTGTGTGCTTCCAGGCTGAGTAGTGAGGGGTTTGATGTGGAGCCTTTGTGGCAGGATGAAGTAAATAATTCAGCTTGCTGCTGTCTTGCCTGGTTTCTTCCAACTTTCTCGGGTGACCTGTTTCCCTCTAAACAGCTGTTACTGAGGCTGTAGCCCTGTCTGTGAAGTGTGTGCACACTGTGGGGGAAGTTAAGGGAGGGAGAGCCATGTTTTTATTAAGGAAATGGGCTCTGACCTTCCTGCTGGTTTTACTGCTTTCCAGAGCCTGAAAGGATGGAAAGTGTCCTGCCTTGTGGTGACTCAGTCCCCTCTCTCTTTAGACCTGCTCTTACGACAGCTTGAGCTCTGGAGCCACTTGCTGAAGTGGTGTGTGTGCTAGCACCTGCCTGTCCTACAAGAATAATAACCCAAGTTATTATGAGCAGAGCCAGCTGGGGGGAGACAGTGTCCTTCAGCTGCTGTGACAAGGCTTGCTCAGAGCTGGTCTTTCACACCTCCTCATGGTGGAAGCAATAATTTCATCTGTCTGCATGGAGGGAAGTAGCACTGATCTGTGAGAAAGGTAGAGAGATGGAAAATGGCTCATCTTATTCGTATAAATATTTTTCTATGTCTACTAATATTTGTTCAGTCAAAGGGTTTCCCACCAGTGAATGCAGCCTAATCCCTATATCATTTAATATTTTTCTAATAGTTCTTCATATGCAAACATTAATGCACTGCCTGATTTTTTTGGAGCATTATGCTTCCTATATGGTTTATGGTCAGACTTGTTTTTCTTTTCCCCCTTCAGAAAATTTTTTACTAACTAACAGTTTCCTATACAGAAGCATATCAAACAGCTTGTGTCAACAGTTGACAGAACTATATTTAATGTATGGATGTGGCATTTAAGTTTTGTAGGAGGAAGCAAGATTAGGTTTTCCCCCTCCCACCAGCAGAAGGCAGTTAAGGTTCAAGCTGCAGTGCTCAATTTTACCTGCAGCTGAAATCTAAGCCTGGCATGGCAAAGCCCAGAGTGAGGAGGTCACCAGCAGTGGTAACAAATGGATAATTCACGTTGTGGCTATTCCTATTCTCACCAAGCTGTTCCTAGTAGCTGTGCAGAGCTTTCTTCAAGCTTGAACTTAAACAAAACTGGAGTCAGGAATGCAGCAGGCAGTTCTGGAACTGAAACCGAGTTGGCGTAGCGCTGCTTTGCTGCTGCAGAAAGTGCTCTGCGACGTTTCTCAGCTGGGCTGCAGGTGCGGAAGGCTGGCGTTGGAGGATGTGCAGGAGTGAGCAGTGTGCATCTAGCGTGCTGCAAAGCTCCACTGGCAAACCACCAAAAAATAATCCCCACTGAGCTCCCAAACCCAGGAGCAGTCCTGGGAGAGCTAACCCCAGTCCTCTGATGGCAGCAGCCCAGCGCTGGCACTGGTGTGTTGCCAGCTCACTGGACGTGCGGGTCTGTGACAGCATCCAAGGGGCTCTGTGCTGGTGATGGGGAATGTTCTGATGGCTGAAGAAAGAGGTGGAGGAGTGTTCACGTAGTCAAATCACAGGCTGGTGGTTGAAGCAAGTTCAAGTTATTTATGCCCCCAAGGGTGGCTGACCTGCCTTTGTGAAGCAGAAACAAGATGTTAGCCTACTCCCAAGATTTGCTGGCACTACGAAGAGTCTCCAGCGTTGACCACGTATTTCTGAAGTTCTGCTGGGTGTCCCAGAGCTGGTTGGAATAAAGAGGGATTATGGCCAAGACTCGCCGTCCCCGGGCAGTTTCGGATGGTGGTGATGTTTTTCATCCTATGAGTTCTGTTAGTTTCAATCCTGACTCTAGCACGTAGTGTAGTAGGAGCATTTGCTACCTGTAGTACTAGCTGCTGACGTGTCTTCAGAAAAAGATTATAATATCCTGAGAATTTTAGAGCAAATCCTGTAATCTTGCAACCCCTTTTTGTAGAAAAGATTTAATAGTAAAGCCAGTAAATTTTGAAATGCATGTGCGACCCCTTCCTCAGAGCGCTCGCATGTAGCAATTTGCAGAGCAGCCCTGGTCCTGCTGACTGCTTGAACAAAGCTGTTTGGAGCGACTGTTTTCCAGGATTCCCCCCGTTCCCCTGGAGTCACGTTTGCTCCCAGCTGTGCCAGTTTGCTCCCAGTGAAGCCAGGCATAGGTCACTGGGTTTTCCACACCGTTCTCGTTCCTTCTGGGCAGGTGGAAGCACACCTCATGATTATTCACACTGGCTTACAGCAGGAACACGGTCAGTAAGCTGTTAACTGCGTGCATCTTTACATCTGTGTGAAGTTTACGTTTTACATTCTGATGGTTTCTGTGTTTTGCTGCCGGACGAGAGCAGAGGCTCCGCAGGAACGGGGCTGTCTGTGTATCCTGGCGTATTCTAGCGCAGAATCTGTTCCTTTGTAGTTCCCAAGGGCCCTTCTCTGGGCTGGATTATTGGGATGCAATTTTGTACGAGACACTTGTCTTAAATTTTTAGAAAGGGGAGTTTCTGTGGCTGGAGAGGAATGGATTTCCAGCTGAGACTGGATTGTGCTAATCTGGTAGCTGAATCCCTCCTCTCAAATGCCACTTACCTACGGCAGGATTATAAGGAATTAAGTGTATTTGACAGAGGGCCATCTTTCATTGCGTGCGCACATTTATCTATATAATCTGTCATTTATTCTGTTATTTGTGATATCACTCACTATAGTGGTGTTAAACTGAACCGACTGGAACCATTTAAATAGTGCCATCAGATTCTTTGACCCTGCTTTCCGGAAGGATTTAATCCTTCGGTGCCAGACACTTGCCTCTCGAGCCTGATGCCCATCAGTAACAGCAATACCTTGATGACACTGTGTGTTTTGGAATAGTTGGCGAAACATACTCCTGCAGTGGCAGGTGGAGTCTGGTTGCACGTGCGGTGTCACGGTGTGTGTACGGTGTTGAGTCTAAGATCATGTTCCTCATCTTCTTTCATCTTTTAAGCTGAAGCTTAAGCTTTTTTCGTCTTTTAAGCTGAAAGAGGGGACATTGAGATGAGATATTGGGAAGAAATGTTTTCCTGTGTGGGGGTGAGGCAGTGGCCCAGGTTGCCCAGAGAAGCTGTGGATGCCCCATCCCTGGAGGGGTTCAAGGCCAGGCTGGATGAGGCTTTGGGCAACCTGGGCTAGTGGGAGGTGTCCCTGCCCATGGCAGGGGTGTTTGGAACTGGATGATCTTGAAGGTCCCTTCCAACCCAAACCGTTCTGTGATTCTATGATCTTACCATAGCTGTTTGGGTGACTAAATCTAAAGCATCCCATGGTTTCCTTTTCCATATCTGCAACAACTCCATTCCATGACATTCCCCGCGTGAGGGCAGGTTAATTTTACCATTGCTTTCCCTCATTTCTTTCCCCTTCGCAGCAAAGTGCATCCAAGGGCATTAAGGACTTTCCACGCCATTACAGACACAACCTGCTCACCTGTAAGCTCAGAAATTCCTGTGTAAAGCTCCAGAGCATCCCAGGGTTGATGTTTCGGGTAGGTTATCGCTGGGAACGCTGCCGCCACCCTTCCACCCAGTATGTTTCAGCCAGGTTAGCGTTCAGCACGGTAGGGATGTGCTTCCTACTATGAGATTGTTTCATTCACGTCACCGTGCTCCCAAGATCTGCCTCTTTCTTTTAAATAAACCAAAAAAAATCACTAGGTACCTCTATAAACCCCTGCAAAATCTGTACTGTAATGAACCTGTATCATTTGTATTGCTGCATAAAAATAAAAGCATTCAAACCTTCTAGGGTTTTGTGTTCAAATATAAGAATTATTTTGGCTACAAGGATGAACTGAGCAGGACAAGAAGGGGAAGAAGCGTTATAGCACCGTAGGGATGTACAGGATTAGTCTTTGCAAACTTTACTTGGACAAATTTTTTAAAGCACCCAGAAATGCTGGCTGTGAGTGGTATTTCCACTGGGTGGTAGCAGCATGTATCTTCAGCTGTAACAGAGCCGCTTTCGGTTTCGGGTTTGCAGTGGGGTGTGCAGCTGGGGCAGGGAGGAGGTGGCACTTCCCCTTCAGCTGGGGAAACGCTCCTGCAACCACAGCCCAGAGGAAAGCCGTTGCTTGGTCTGTACAGAAACATGCATGGACTACTTTGACATGTCAGAAAATTTCCTCCCAAAATTGACTTTCATTAAAACTGGCCTGAAAATTTGGCAAAACAAATGATCAGTGGTTGGGATGGGGTGTGTCCTTATTCTGGTCCCAAAGCAAAAGGGGGATTTGGATGGTGGTCTCCTACGACATGGGCAAAGCTTGACTCCCAAAGGGGATGAGCTGTGGGAGGAGGAGGAGGAAGCCTTTCCCCAAAACTCACAGCGTTGGGTGTGTTTCTGCAGAAAGGTCAGGTGCAGATGATGGATTGATTTCTGATCCTTGTTTCACTGCTAATTTCTGATCAGCATTAGTCATAACACCTGGTTCAGGCAGAACCAGCTGGTCCTTGAGCCCACCCACCTTTATCCGAAGGGATGTGAGCGGGTCCCCAGGGCATCCTGCCTCCCAACCCCACAGGTGAGCTGGGGAGGGGGAAGAGGGGTTCTGTAGCTGGTTAGCCAGGTATCAAAAGG